AAAGCTGAATTTCTCCTTTTTTTTTTTTTTTTAATTTTTTTAATTTTTCTTCTCCTCTGGGGCCCCCGCGGAGGGGCAGGAGCAGCTCAGCTCATCTGCTCGGGCGCTGTGGCCCTCCCCGAGCCCCTGCTGAAGACCACGACCTCCGGTGTCTCGAGCCCTTGGCTCGCACGCTCCTTTTTTTTCAGGAGGATGCTCGCCGGAGGCACGCCGCGTGCAAAGGGGAAAAAAGGGGCCAAGAGCTTAAAATACCTTAAAACGGTGGGGTTTTTTTCTGGGCGATGTGGAGGGGAAGGGGTTGGAGAGCATCGCCCCGTCTGTGGTGGGGTGACGGGTCCCGGCGTGCTGCCCGAGCCCACGTGGCCGTGCAGAACAGGGGCACTGTCCATACAAATGAAGCTGCCGTGGGGCGGTTAATTAAGAGCAAGGTCATGCACGTTGGCCCCTGGCTGCCCACGGGGACCGCCAGAGCTCGTTAGGAGTTTCGTCAGGATGCCAGGGATCGGCACGGATGCAGAGGTGCAAAGATGCTCTGTGCTGCTGGGCGGATGCCCTGCCGGGTACCACGTACCACCACCCCCCTCGCAGCCCTTGCTCCCACAGTTGAGCCACCAAAGGCAATGCCACTTTGGCTGCGTAGGCTTTTGACCCCCAGTGCATCCCGGCAAAACACTGAAAGGATGAGCCTTACCCCGAAACACATCCAACGGAGCAGCCGGGAGGCAGCAGAGCTTCTCTTTGGTCACTACCACGGCCATGCTGAAGGATAACGAGGTTGTTTCAAAGACGCTTCCTCCTCCCGAAGGGTAATAGTGCTGCGCCAAAGCCTCTGTAATGCAAAAGTGGGTATCACGGATGGAGAGGTGGCAGTGTTTCTACCCCGTGGGGCGCTCCACTGAGTGGGGATAGGCTAGACAAGGCTTCGGAGATCAGAGAGAAAGAGGGAAAGTCACTTGCAACTGATGGGAGATGAGCATCACTCCATAACACAAGTTTCCTTTCCTCCTAGAGCATTTATTGCTTTAACGCCCCGAATAACTACACCAAAACGCTCCAGCTCTGAAGCAGGGGGGAGTAGCTGGCACCACAGAGCTGAGAGAGAGGACATTAAAAAAAAAGGTCGGGCATAGGCTCAGTCGCTCTCCTTTGAGCAGAAGCTGCAGCAGATGCGTCTCCTCCGCTCTCCGCCCTTTCATCCATCCCCCCCTCCCGCTCCCCGCGCCCTCCCGTCTTGCCGGGTGTCACTTTGCCAGTCCACAGCTTTTTGTCTCCCCTCGGCCAGTTGGATTTAACACCAAAGGCTGATGGAGGAGCCAGCGCGGGGCAGGCGCAGCATCCCGACCGCACCAGCCCTCCGCCGAGCCGGGGGAGCGCGGGGGCTCTCCCATCCTCCGGCTCGTTTTGCCAGCGATGCCGGCACCGTGCAGGGATTCGTACCCCGTCTTTGATTTAGTCTCGCACCGCGGGCCCACCCTCATGAATTTTGCAAGCGCCCGGCGTCGCTCGTTTTTACACCCACCGGTGAGATGAGGCCAAGCCCCGCGGAGAGCATGTGGTCCTTCCCCCGCCGGCCAGCTCGCAACCCGCTTTCCTCAGCTGAGCAACGGTGAAAAAACATACGACCCTGCTAGTTTTTTCTTCAGCAGCTGAAGGGATGGTTTTAATTAAAGAGAGAAGATCTGGCAACACTGTTTAGGACAGGTGTGGAAGACCCACGGACCCAGCTCAGCTCCCAGACCTGCCCAAACCCAAGGTCATCCTCTGGACCTCAGGTGTCCCAGGTCCAAACAAAGACCTGGGAAGTGACTCCCTCTTGTAAAGCTCTTTGAGACCTAGAAGAAAAAAAAAAAAGTAATCTCCTGGCCAAATACCGTGAAGTAGGGTTGTGAGCCCCGCAGCAGTTCTGCTGGTTGTCCCACCTGGATGCTGGCGTAGGGCAGGGAGCGCGCATCGTTCCTGAACTGGGAACTGGGGCGGATGGCTGCGTTCCTCAGCAAAGGTACGTTATTTAAAACCCTCGAGAAGTACCCTGTGGTTGCATCTGGACTGAAGCATCCGAGAGGCGGCGTCCTTCATTCTGCCTCGCAACCCCCATGTCCCTCATCATTCTGCGTTGTCTTAGCTTGAGCTCTTCGACGTGGCCTACGCAGAGCATCAGATGTGACTTTGCCCAGGCGGTATTCCGCACTAATTACTTCCCTGCTGTTATACGCCACACTCCATAAATTACCCGTCCCCTTTTGCGGGGGGATCACCCACGCATTTATGGCTCAGGCTGCCCGTCAGCATCCATCCCCATACCACGATGCTCCCACCAGCAGGCCACTGCTTTGTTCTCAGACCCAATTCTTGCCCAGTTTGAACCTGTATTGATTTTTCTCCTCGTTTCTCTAACTTTCCTTAGCTGAATGCCACGAAAGACAAAAGATAAATTCCCTTTTGGCCTGCTTCCCCTGCCAATGCAATAAATACGCCCTCCACACCTACCTGCAGGTCATTTGGAGACATTAAATTAGAAGAATCGGGCTCTCAAAGCAATTATCTCCGGGCTCCTTCACCTGGCCCTCGTCAGCGATTTCTCCCAGTTTACAATCCAAACTGAGATTGCAGCTTGGATTACAATCCAGGAGAAGGATGACCAGAAAGAAAGATGCCAACTAAAAGTGCATGCATCTGTGCATCTCCAAGAGAAACCACTTCAGACACCAGCAGTTGCACAGTATCAAGAATTAACTTTATTAGCAACGGTAGTACCGGATAATTAAGTTCTGTCTCAAGAGGTATTTGGTCTGTAACATGACGGAGCAGTCAGCAAACGAGCAGAATCTCCTCATACCTGGGAGCAGGCGAAACGTACGGGTTGAGGAGAGCAGACCACGCGGGCAGGCTCTCAAGTGGGAAGCACTGAAGGCCACAAAGGGATGTTTCGGTTGCCAAAACGACATTGGCTTGGGTTTTTCAACCACGAGCAACTATCGCGTTACCCCAAATAACGCTCCAGTGCCATCGGAGGTGATGGGACTACGTACACTCGTGAGCAGCACCCGGCCGGTCAAGAGACATTGCTACCCTCAGCCCTTGGGCTACCCTTTAAGTGAGGTGGACCTTAACCTGGGTCAACGCTGGCCAAAGCAGCCCCTAGCCAAGCGTCGGGGGCTGAAGGGCTGCAGACCTACCAAAGCGACAGAATTAAGAGCCCACACGTGCAAAGTGGCGTGCCATGAAGTTGCTCCTCGGTACTGCACGCCCTGTAACTTTTCCACTCGTGTCTGGATTTTATGTTTAAATAAAAACCAGCCGTAAAGCAGACCTGTGTGCATATTGCCAACAAGCCCCAACACTAAACACTGGAAAGGATTTATATAAAATAACCCCCACCCAGCAAGCCTACATGTCACCCCGTGCCAATAACTGCTGTCGATCCTGCTGTTCTCCCAAGCGAAGCCAAGGTGGCCACGGGTGGCAAGGCACCAGCCCCGCGTCCTCACCAGCTCCCCACCACATCCAGCACAGCAAGGAGACGGCCTGGCGACCCGGACCGGCAGCTTCTTGGTCAAGCAGGAGATGCTGAGAGAGCATCTGCTAACGGCCCACTCTGAAAGGAGTTATTTTCCATAGATAGCATCCCTGAGGCATCAGCTGCAATGCCAAGTTCTGCCATTACATCCTTGCTTACCAGTTCATAAAATCATAGAATGGTTTGGGTTGGAAGGAACCTCGACGATCATCTAGTTCCAACCATGGGCAGGGACACCTCCCACCAGCCCAGGTTGCTTCAAGCCCCGTCCAACCTGGCCTTGAACACCTCCAGGGATGGGGCAGCCACAGCTTCTCGGGGCAACCTGCCCCAGGGGCTCACCACCCTCAGAGTGGTGCCCCACCTCTCCTAGACCATAAATCCACACAATCTGAGCAAATAAATACAATAAGTGTATTTAGCCCCGGCTACATTTGCATATGGAAGTTTAAGTGACTTTAAAAACTGGTCCCCTTTGGGTGGGCCATCTTTCTGAGTGTGACAGTAGCTCGTCCCTCTGAAAACATCTGGAGACCATATGCCGCCTGTCTACCTAAATTAATCCGCGTTCTGCCGTGAACATCCCATCAGAGCCTCCCTAATAGCTCTCCCTGACTTTTATAGACCTATCTCAACACAGAATAAAGGCACCTTAAAAACCTTAGGTCCGACCATTTAGCATTTCGCTTTCCCTGGGGTTCAGCTGCAGACAGGTAAGTCTGTGTCCACAGACGGTCACAGCAGGAGAAATGGTCTCGGGTTGGCCACGACATACAACCCCGACACTAGCAGCACCGTGCTGGGGGCTGGATGATCCCTCATTCAATCTTATCTGGAAAAACGAAAGCAAGCAGAAGGCCAAGTGGAGAGGTTTCCCTTATATATGCTTTTTTAAGGCATGAATGTATGAAATTCTCCCCAAAACGGTGCCCTGCTCCCTGGCAAGGCTGCTATCTGCTCCTGATCCTTGATGAAAGCTGCTCCGGGGCTGAAACTCCCTTTAGCTCAAGGCCATCGTCACAGCTTGATGAAGGGGGAGCCCCCGAGACCCCTGAAACGCTGCAGGGCTGAACTCCTAATAAAAAGGCAGCAAAACCCAAGGTGCCTTCAAAAGCCCTGGTTTTGGTTTAAAGCCAGCGTGGTGGCACCAGCGAGCCACCCTTGCCCATGGGCACTGGAGTGAGGTTTCCCCGCACCCCCGGTGCTTCCCTGAGCTCCCCAAGGAGAAGGAGGTGGGTTTTTTTGGTCCATTTGGTCCGGTCGAGCTGGGGAGTGACAAAGGTCTGACGGGACCTCCCAAGCACAAGTCCTCCTCCCAGAAGAAGGACTTTCCCCCTGGATGCAACCCCCGCTCCCAAGACAGGTAGCCTGCCCCAAAACCATGGCGTGCCTGGCTTTTGGGGTGAAAAAAACCCCAAAACCAAACCAACTAAATACCCAACAGCAGCACCGCAAAACAAGGTCCTCTTCCCTGGCTGCTCCTCTACACGAGGTGGACAATGAGGATGGAGCAGCCGGACCCCACGGCCAGCCCCAGCATGAGGTAAAAAGTCATCACCACCCCTGCTGCCTCGGCCAGCTCTTTCGGCACGATCTTGGGGCCGTAGACGATGACCAGCGTCCCCAGGTAGCCGTTGCTCAGCCCCAGCAGCGCCGTGAAGACCACGGGGTAGATGTCTTGGTTGAAAACCACTGTCCGGATGTGAGACCGGGGCTGGTAGTTGCTGAGGATGAAGAGAGGGAGGAAGATGGTTCTGAGGAGGACGAGGGCAGGCAGCAGCTTGCTCTTGGGGCCGGGGGCCTGGATCCAGGCGGTGATCTGCCTCCCGCACCAGTCGGCGAAGTTGTACAGGAGAAAGCAGGTGAGCGGCACGAAGTACTTGGTGCTCCAAGGGCTTCCCGAGGACTTGCTGACCGACTCGATGTTGGAGGAGAGAGAAGGGAAGATGATGATGGAGATGAAGAAGACGTAGAAGAGGCAGAAGCCGAGGAGGGCGGTCTTCTGCAGGATGGGGCGGAGCGGGGGGATGCTGGTGCTTTTCACGAGGAAGGGGGTATTTGTGGTGCCTCCTGGCTCTGCCTCGTCCTCCGCAGAGCTGTCGGGTGGCACGACAGCCAGAGATGGGCTCTCCTTCTGGCGGCTCATGTAATACCTGGAAAAAGAGAAGGAGGGAGACTGTTAGCCAAATGTGCGTGGCGGGGGGAACCCCAGACTGAGATTTGGAGAGTTGGTGACGCAGGGATGTCCGCCGGACCCAGCCAAGGTGGTTGCAGCGACACCATTGCACCTCCAGCTCCCACACTGTATGGAGAGGTGACCCTCGAGGGACCTGCCACCCCCTCTTCCCCACTGCGGGGATCCCTTTACACCCTCAGGGTTCACAGGGGGGGACCTACTGCATGCAGGTGTTTGAGGGGGGAAGGTGATTTGGGGGGCTGCAAGCGCCAACAAGACCAACAGGTCATAGAATCACAGAATGGTTTGGGTTGGAAGGGACCTTGCAGATCATCCAGTTCCAACCCCCCTGCCCTGGGCAGGGACACCTCCCACCAGCCCAGGTTGCTCCAAGCCCCGTCCAACCTGGCCTTGAACACCTCCAGGGATGGGGCAGCCACAGCTTCTCGGGGCAAACAGGACCAGTGCCTCACCACCCTCAAAGTGAAAAATTTCTCCGCGATATCTAATCTAAATCTCCCCTCTTCCAGTTTGAAGCCACATCAGTGCATAACGTTGCAGACGCGGACGCCCTACGGGGACCCACCTGGCTGGCTGCCTCCAGATGACAGCGCTCTGCTGACTTCACGCATTTTGGAAGCCCCGGCAGCGTCAGCACCCCTCTCCCCCCCCCTGCTCCCCCCATGGGGAGGCTTGCCAGAAACTCAGCACACACGGAGTCAGGCGCCCAGTTTCGGTCTGTGGTTGCAGTCAAATGGGGAAGCGTGGCTTGTGGTGGCACAGCGCCGGAGCCGGAGTGCACAGAGGGATGCCGGAGCGGGGTGACAGGGCAGGGACCAGCACAGCAAGCATCTCATGGGTCCCCATAGCAAGCCCACTCGGCACCGGCAGCAGCACACCCTCCCGACCCGTGCTTGTTGGGATGCCCACGGTGGGCTGGTGCACGTACCTGGAGTACTCCAGCCTGGGAAGGAGGAGGTACACCATGATGCAGATGACGATGAAGATGTCGGCGGTGAGGGAGTAGGCCAGAGCGCTGGCCGTAACGGCAGCCGCCGCCGCCAGGTCTATCAGGGAGGCGATGGCGCTGATCGTGCCGCCCATGGCCTGACCTGCATGGGGTACCAGAAAGCTGGAGCTCAGCACCTGGGGCGCGGGTGAGGGACATCGAGGTGGCACAGAGCACCTCCAGTGAGGAGGACTTTGAGGAGAAACCCAGAAACAGCAAGATCCTTTTACTAACACCTCCTGGCGTGCACAAACTCCTCAAAGGAAGCAGCTCCCCCCCCTGCCCCACACGCTGGTCCCCAAACCCGGCTCAGGGTGCAGATCCCTATTTGTGGGACCGCCTCACAGCCCAGGTCCCGCCCTGCACCCCCTTCCAACACGGCCCCAGCGCTGCACGAGGGTCAGGATGGGACCAGACCTACTGGGTTTGCACACGCAGAGTGCTGCGGAGAAGGTCCAAACCCTGCCCAAAGCCTAAACCTGGCTTTTCACCATTCGTACATCTAACTGCCTCTCTCCTGCATTCCCCCAGATGGGAATCCAAGCCACCAGCAAGAGGTATGCCATCTCGGGGACACAGTGATCTCCCCCCACCAGGCTAAACTCATTAAAACACTCCTGTCTTGGCCGACGGGAAAAAATTCCTCTTGTCTTGAATTTTTTTCCCTTCCCCTCCTGGTTTGTCAGCCGTTCCGCAGCCCATTTATAATGTTATCAAACCTCCAGGGAGCTCATCACTCACGGCTCCCAACGGTGCCCCTCATCGCTCATGGAAACGCACGGAAATGCTGAGCAGAAAGGAGGAGACAACGCAAAGCTGAAGATTCCTCCAGCCGCAAAACAGAGGAGCTAAGGGATGTACCTCTTTCCCCCTCCTTCTCCCTGCACAGAACATCCAACCAGGTCAAGCCGTCGCTCTGGCCGGAGCTGCTCTGCAGGGTGTTCACCCCCTGGGCAGGGACGGTGAAGGACCACGGTTCTCCTCATCTCTGCTGAGCCCTCAGCACTTTGGTTTATAGGTATTTACAGAAACGAGAGCGCCGGTTCATGTGACCCGGCATGTTTCTCCTTCAGCAACTTCCCTTTATCACTAAGGCCAAGTTAAGTTTCTGAAATAAACCCCCACGTGACCAAACGCCTGATGCAGCACAGAAAGAAAACCAACCGCCCGACCACAGAAAACCCAAGAGCGTGATCCCACCGGGATGGCACGGCTCGGGGTGATGGTGGGGACACCAACCCGAGATCAGCGCCTGCAAGTTCTTCATGGGGAAGCAGCTGCTCAGACCGAAGATGCTGCTGGTGAAGACGGTCGAGGCGCTGCTGACGACGACCACGCAGGCGATGGTGAGGGCAAAGAAGCGGGTGGTCCAGGTGGAGGTGTCGACCTTCACCAGCACCGTGATCACCAGGAAGACGGCCAGCATGACGAAGAGGGAGGACAGGATCCGGACGCTGGCGGGTACCCTGGGAGACAAGGGGAAGGAGAGGCTTGTTTAGAACTTTATGGTTTAAAACCATAACGGGAAAGGGCGATGCAGAAGACACCAACATCCTCTGCTGCCAATAGGATCAAAGTAAATTAAGGCAGGCTGTGGGAAGATGAATAAAAACTAACGCTTTTTCTCAGAAGGCTTTAGATGGAATTTCCACTTTTGCCATCAGTAGGACCCGTTTTGGAACATGTTGCCCAGGGCAGTGGTGGAGCCCCCATCCCTGGAGGTATTTAAGGGTCGTGTAGATGTAGTGCTGAGGGACACAGTTTAGTGGTGGGTTGTCAGTGTTAGGGTAATGATTGGACTAGATGATCTCATGGGTCTTTTCCAATCTAGGAGATTCTGTGACCCATGAAGTCTGTAAGCCCAACCGGGCTGTAAATACCCATTTCTCCCAGCAACAAGGAGCCCCCATGGCTGGAGCAGAGATGGAGCCTGCCCGGGGAACACGGCAGGCCGAGGGAAAGCAACCCCAGGCACGTCGCTACAAGATAGTGAGTTCTTTGAGCACAGAGGTTGCCTATCACCCAGACCGGACAGGCTGGCAGGACAGAGGGACAAGGGACAGAGGGAGGGAGCCCTTGGGCTCCCTTCCAACCCTAACAATTCTGTGAATTCTGTGAATTCTGTGAGCCGGCTCAGCAGCCGAGATGGAGAGATTAAGCACACACACACATTCCTCTTTGCCGGCAAACGCACCACAGGAGTTTAACCTGGGATAAGGAAGGGTAGGAATGAAGGGAGATGGCTATTTTAGATTTAAGGCGAGCTCGCACCGAGGCATGGATGCTCCACATCTTAACGCAGCTCAACGGCTGGTCGAACTAGAGCGAAGGCGATACCGGACGAGCCCAGCTCTCACCAGCCGCTCCCCTGGTGACAACAATGCCATTTTTAAGAGGAGAGACGTCCGCCGTTCAGGCAAGGGGCACAACGAGGGGGTTTCGGCCACGCAGGGGGACTTGCGCTCACGATGCCCCGTGGCTTCCCGCCCAAGGGAAGGGGAGGTTGAGCCAGCAGCCTCAGCTGAAGGCAGAGAAAGGCAGGAGCAAAGCGGCTGACGGGAAGGGAGCAGCACTTACTTGTTGACGAGCAAGAAGTTTCCGACCAGGCAGAGCACCGAGGGCACGGTCGAAGCGATGGAGATGTAACTCTCGAAAAAGTCCTGCCAGGAAAAGTATAAAAAAAAAAAAACCAAAAAAAAAAAAAACCAAGCAAACAAAAAAAATAAACACAAAGGAAAAAAAAAAAGGTAAGGGGGAACACCACGTGAATTTCAGGTCCTACACGCTCCAGCACGCATTGGGTAGGTGTCCACCTCGTTGCATTGTAGCCTATCTTGCAAAGCTGCTCGGGATGAAAGGCAAAGGGAAGAGGCGATGGAAACCACGCCGGGGCTGTCTCGTCCCGCAGCAGCCCCGGGATGTTTCAGAAAACGAGGGACCTAACAAATTCTGAACCAAAAATGGCGAAGGAAAAAGGAGGTACCCGCCTTACCGCCGCGCTAGCCCCCAGGAAATACGGAGGTCTGAATCTCTCCTGCTGGCTCCAGCGTCCTGGACAACCCCCCTGAACCTTTTAACCCTCTCCTCGAGCTCCGCGAGGGCTGCTTTTTATAAACCGCGGCACAAAAGCACTAATATTATTAGCTAACTGCCTCAAAAGCCCAACCCATGCATCCCTCTCGACCCGCAGCGAGTGGGACACCACGCCGGAGAACACGCTCGAGCTAAAGCAGCCCAAGCAGGGACACGGGGACGTTATTTTCCCTGCCGGTCTCCCTCTCTGCAAGCAGGAAACTCATGGAGAAACTACGTTGAGACCCGATACCCATTTCCTCTGGGGACTCGTATATCCTGCGAGCAGGAGAAGGCACTTGGCACCTTATATTTTTATTTTTGCAGCTTTGCATCGTAGTCTTTTAATCAGTTGACAAGCACGTTCATTTAGCCTCCCCTATCGGGAGCTTTACTGGAAGCGACGGGAAGTCTAATAATCGCTCCCGGAGGGTCCGTATAGATGGAGAGGTAAATGCCAGCGCTTAACGGCGTCGGCTTGGCGAAGCCATGAGGGAACTGGGGAGGACATCGTGCCATGGGGTTGCTAGCACAGGGCCACCCTATTTGCGGTCTTCGGGCACCAGGGGGGCTGGGTCTCCATCAGTTTAATCCACCCGGTGTCTTGATTTCCACCGGCACGCCGGTACTTCAGCATCCCGGTACACACACCGTCGGTGACGCTCTGCTTCCCTCCCTCATCAAAAACGCAGCCGGTTTAACAGCTCTTAAAATTAAAGCAGGCGCGGATGCCGTACCGGTGTGAGAAATCCCAGAGCAAACGTGGGCGTCGCACGCGGCTCCGTGTTTACATAAAAATAAAAAGCGCCCGAACCACTTGGACGAGCTCGGCAACGGGAGGAGGACAGCACACGGCCTCGTCACGCCGACACTTTTCCCAGCAACAAAGAAATGCCATCGCTTTGTCGGGAGAGCACGGGGAAATAACCTTGCCGTGGCAGGAGGGGCAAGGGAAGGCGGCTTTTTTGGGGGGAGAAAAAGCGAGGATGTCAAGCCTGCTGCCCCAAGGCTGGCTCATCAATCGCCCCGTGCCAACCTCCTCCTCCCATATGCCAAAAGCCAGATGTTAAGCGCTGCGAGGAGATGCTCCGGTCACACCTGCCCGATCTTGAAGGAAAAGCCGTAAAGCATCCGGGGAGGGGGGCTGGAGACTATCACAAACCATGTGCTCGGGGAGGCAGGGGGGCTGATGCTCCCGCAAAACCCTGCTGCCCCCCTCGAAATAACATGCTGCACCGACCAGTACGAGGGAGAAAACGCCTAAAACGTGTCCGACACCTCATCACAGAGGCAAAAGTTAAGGGCAATTTATCTCCCAGGCCGCAGGGAGTTGCGGCCGAGCGCAGCTGGAAAAGCACAGAGCACCACAGGGCTCAGGGGCTCACCAAAGCATGAAGGACATAAAAAAAAACCAAACCAAACCAACCAAAACCCCAAACAGATTTTTAACCTTTGCACCGCAGAAATTGTCCTGTGAAGGGCAGCTTTCCTTATAAAACTTATAAACCTTAGCGCTTCCACCGCGGGTAAAAGACAGACCGCAAAGTGCTACGCCTTTTAGTTTTGAGCATCTTTCCTGCAACTATTTGCGCTCCCCCAAATAAACCTCTACCCCAGGTTTGCCGCAGGCAAAACCCCAGGGGATGTTCACTTACCTTCTGGGGAAGCGGAGGGGAAAAAGAGCGAGTAAGGAAGGAAAGCTGCTTTTTTAATTATTATTATTTTTCCTTTTTCTGCCTTGAAAGCGGCACACTCACCCGCAGATCCGCCGCCGCCTGTCCCGCCGGGCCCGCCTGATCCGAGCAGTTTTGCAACTTGTACATCCAGTAGTGCTTCGCCGTGATGAAAAAATTCCAGGGCAGCAAGGACCCGATGCCCAGGAGGAAAAAAATAACGTAGGCCCCATGTAAGCGGTCGCTGGGCTTTTGCCGGCTGTATCGGTTCACCGAAGGCTCCTCGATCAGCGGCTCCTCGTCCGGGGGAAAGTGGCTTTGCATAGCGCTGGCACGCTGCAAAATAATACAAAAAAGCAACCAAAAAGAAAGGTATTATGGCTCGAGGGGCGCAAAGC